AAACCCGTTACCATCGAGTTGATTCCAACTCATAGCGACCCTATAGGACAGACTAGAACTGCCCCATAGAGTTTCCAAGGAGCGCCTGGTGGATTTGAACTGCCGACCCTTTGGTTAGCAGCCATAGCACTTAACCACTAGGCCACCAGGGTTTCTTGAAGATCAGCTGCCTGTAAATCGATGGATTTACTTCCATGTTCTCAGTTCTATTCAATTGGTCTATGCATTTTTCATTGTATCAGTACCAGGTTGTTTTGATTACCATGGCTGTATAGTAAGTTTTGAGATGGAGAAGTTTGAGACTTGCATTTTGTTCTTCTTCAGTTTTGCTTTAGTTATTCGGGGCCTGCTTCCTGTCCATATAAAGTTGGAGATTAGTTTTTCCATCTCATTAAAGAATGTTGTTGGGATTTGCGTCAGGATTGCATAATATCTACAGATCACTTTTGGTAGTATTGACATTTTCACAATGTTAAGCCTTCCAATCCATGAACATGTAATGTTTTTCCATTATTGTGGATCTCTTTTAGTTTCTTGCAGTTGAGTTGTATAGTTTTCTTTGTATAAGTATTTTAGGTCCCTGTTAAATTTATTCCTAGGTATTTTATCCTTTTGGGGGCTATTGTAAATGGTATTGTTTTCTTGACTTCCTTTTCAGAGTCCTCCTTGTTAGTGTAGAGGAACCCAACTGATTTTTGTGTGTTGATCTTGTACCCGGCCACTTTGCTGAATCCTTCTGTTAGTTCCAGTAACTTTCTTGTGTTGTCGTTGGGGTTTTCTGTGTATAGGATCATGTCATTTATGAATAAGGATAGTTTTACTTCTTCCTTTCCAATTTGGATACCCTTTATTTCCCTTTCTTGCCTTTTTGCTTTAGCCAGGACTTCCAGTACAATATTGAATAAGAGTATTGATAAATGGCATCCTTGTCTCGTTCCCGTTCTCAAGGGGAATACTCTCAATCTTTCTCCATTGAGAATGATGTTGGCTATTGGTTTTGTATATATGCCCTTAATAATGTTGAGGAGTTTCCCTTCTATTCCTATTTTGCTGAGAGTTTTTATCAGGAAAGGGTGTTGGATTTTATCAAATGCTTTTTCAGCATTGGTTGAGATGATCATATGATTCTTTTCCTTTGTTTTGTTTTGTTTATGTGGTGAATTACGTTGATTGATTTTCTAATACTGAAGCATCCTTGCATGCCTGGTACAAATCCCACTTAATCATGATGTATTATTTTTTTGATATGCTGTTGAATTCTGTTGGTTAGAATTTTGCTGAGAATTTTTAACATCTACATTCATGAAGGATAGTGATGTGTAATTTTCTTTTTCAGTGGTGCCTTTGCCTGGCTTTGGTATCAGGGATATGCTGGCTTCATAGAATGATAAAAATGCTTTTTGAAATGAGGATATGTTTTATAATTGTTAGCTTGCTGAAGTATTTTTAAATTGTATCCTTTGTTGCTTATTATATTTCCAGGTTGAACAGTTAACAAATCATCTGAAAGAAAAAACAGACAAGTGCAGTGAGCTTTTGCTGTCCAAAGAGCAGCTTCAGAGGGATATACAAGAACGAAATGAAGAAATTGAGAAACTGGAGTTCAGAGTAAGGGAACTGGAGCAAGCCTTACTCATTAGTGCAGACACTTTTCAAAAGGTGTGACTTTTTTTTATTATTAACTTTACCAAGCATTTTAATGTAAATTACTCTTACAAATTGCAGTTGACTTCTTGTTGATATTATACGTAATATATGCATACTTATGTCTGTTGTTGACATGATACCATTTCTGTTTACTCCCATTTCCAAATGTTGTTTGCATACTTTAGTCCTGAGAAAGGAAGATTAGTTACACCGAAAGAATTATTTATCCTTTTAGCCATCAATTAAGGTTGTGGCTCAAAAATAATAGCCAAGTGAAGAAGCTATGGACACCATTTTAGGCTGATGCCAGACTAAGAAGTGATGATGTCCATCACCATTTTACTGCAGAAAACAAAAATGAATAAAAGAAGAGACCATTATAAGGAAGCTGGGGAGGGAGGCAGATGGAAGAATAACTTTTATCTGTGGAGTGAATTTTGAGAATGTCAAACAGTCCTATTCAAATTTGTATAAAATGCATTCTAGGCTGCATATCTAACTTTTTGATTATTCACAAATGTAAATTAACCAATTCTGTTTGAAGAATGGATTCTTTAATTAAAATGGACAATCAGGATATAATGTCTAAAAATTTGAGAAAATTCTTATGTATTTAAAGGTAGAGGATCGAAAACAGTTTGGAACTGTAGAAGCTAAAGCAGAATTGTCCCTAGAAGTACAATTGCAAGCTGAGCGAGATGCCATAGACAGAAAGGAAAAAGAGGTAAGGAGTTTATTTTTAAGTGACGAAATGTGATTTGAATTATTTTAAATAAGTTACCTTAAAAATATCATTTGAACACAATGGAGTTTGTGGTCTAAAACCAAAGTTCAGACTGTTATTTAGTTCATTGCCCTAAGTTGATTTTGAAGGTAATAAACATGTGAATAAGTAAATCAGCTACTAACAGCTTAAGTTCTTGAATTAAGTATCTAATAACTGTCTACCTTTTACTCAGAATCATAGTTATTTAGAAATACAAGAGACTTTAGAGAGCATCCATTAGCAGCTCCCCGTTTTTACAGGTATGGAAACCTGAGATAGTGACTAAGTAAGTGGTTAAAATGACAGCTGACCCTCTTCCTCTGGTTTTTAATAACAGTGACAAGTACTCTGCCAGAATCCACTTACTCACTTATAACTCAACCCATGAAGACTGACAGGCAGGAAAGTAGAATTAAAATGTATGTTTTTTAATGAAAATAACTTCTTAAGCATTCTCTCCTGCACTAGCAGAGGTTTTCAGGTAACCGATGTACTTTAAAAATAGTATATCCGTATATGTCATTATATTTGAGATATTTTCCCCCACTCCCATAGCCTAAGTTTGTATAAAATGTTTTTTATAAAGTTTGTTAGAATATTTAGAAATGCAGGATTAATTAAAAGAGAAGAAAACATTAACATATAGGAGTTTCAGGAGGCTAAGAGAACGAGAATAATGTGGAAAGAAATAGAAGTAAGGAAGAACTTCTTTAAAGGAAAAAAATGCCTTCAATAGATTTGGGTTCTCTATAGAGCTGATGAGATCTAGCTTATAGATAGGAATAATAAGTAATAATAGTCCATTTTAACTGAGGACTTCGTGGTGGAAAGTGCTAATAAGTATTCAAATGCCTATCTCATTTAATCCTTACACCCGCCCTAGGGATAGACTCTCTTTTTATCTCCATTTTTCAGATGAGTAAAAGGGATTAAGTAACTTGCTCCTGGTCACACAGTAAGTAGTTGAGTAAGAATTCCATCCAGATTTCTCTGGATGGAGATGATGCTGTATTGCCAAAGGTAGGCATGCGAGTGTGTTTGGCCTTGTTGGTGAAAAGTATTGAAGAATATCATTCAACATTTATTGAGCTCTTACTGTATGTAGAGCAACTCTGTCCAGTTGTAAAAACAGCATCTGACTTCAAGGAATCTGCTGTCTTATTAAGAAGATACATACACATGTGAACGAGACAGAAACACTTAAAACAGAAGAACACACGTAGGTGCAAATTAATGGAATCCAAACAATATAGGCATCAATTGGTAGATAAGTTAAACAAGGTTAAAACACAGCTATCAGTCTCTATTTTTAAGCTTTAATTAACTGTTCTTCTGGTATTTGGTAGTTATAGGCACAATAATAACAATAATACAGCCTGAGGTTGAAATTGGAGTCTGGCTGATTAAGAGGAAAGAATGCCCTATAATGACATTTTTTGGGATTGAAGTCCCTAATGTGATGCCTCAAGTTCAGCTGCTTATAATAGGAATGTTCATGCTTTAGTACTTCTCAAATTTTCATGTGCATATGGATCACCTGGGGATCATGATAAAACTCAAATTCTGATTCAGTAAATCTGGGGTAGGGCTTGAAATTCTGTATGTCTCACTTGCTCCAAGGTGATGCCAATTCTGCTGCTGCAGGGACCACACTGAGTAGCAAGGCTTTAGATCACATAGCTAGGAAAATAAATATCCAGTGAGGTAAGGTAGGGTAGCAATTTTGAACTCAAATAACTACGTATGTATTGATGTTAAAATAGTAGCTTGTCATCAGAAGTAGTTGTAGAAGATAGGAATAGGTGTAAATACTCTTATATAATTTTGAAGGAGATACAATCACAGACTGATAATTATATATCACAATTATATATGCACAACCACTAAATGTATTTAAAATGTGTCTATTGAGTTTAATACCAGTGTTACAGAAAAATCTTTAAATGTAAGTCTTGCACATTACTTATTAGACATGGGATGAATGGTAGTTAAGAAAGTAAGGCTCCAGAGGTAAACTTCCTAGGTTCAGAAACTGGCTTCCCCACGTACTAGCCCTGTGACCTCAGGACAAGTCACTTCATCTCTCAGTGACGCCTTTCCTCATCTCTAAAATGGGAATAATCATAGAACTCGTAAAGTTGTTACAGGGTGTTTTTAAAAAAGTATTACATAGAAAGCACTTAGTACAGTACTTAGCAGTAAATTGTTTATCAGTGATGGCTATTACTACTAGTATTGATACTATTTCTGTATAGGCAGTCTTAGGCTAAATGATTTCTAAGGGTCTTTGCCTTGCCAGTGCTAAGATACGATTCTGATTGCATGTCAGCGTGTAATCAGCATATGTCCCCTTTCAACTTCTAAGATAATGATTTACAGACTACTCTCTGAGCCATCTGCCACTAAATGCTGCTCCTGCATTTTAGATTGCTTTTTTTTTCTTTATTTAATTTTATTTTTGGTGAAAATATATACAGGAAAAACTCACTCCCATTCCACAGTTTCTAGACTTAATGATCAGTGACATTGGTTACATTCTTCACAGTGTCAGCGTTCTCATTATTTCTGTTCTAGTTGTTTCACTTCCATTTAATCTTCCTGCCCCCAACCTTCTCATCTATGCATTAAAGTAACTGTTGACCCTTTGATTTTATATAATTTTTTTTTAACACAGTACATAAGGGTGACTGTCTCTACTCATTGGGCTAAACTGTTAACTTAGTTTAAAGGTGACTTCAAGGGATAGTTTCATTTCAGGGTTTGAAGAGCAATTCAAGGCCATAGTCTCAGGGACTCTTTCAGCCTCAATAGGTCCAGTAAGTCTGGATTCTTTAAGAGATTGAAGTTCTGTCCCACATTTTTCTCCCTTTTTGTCAGGATTCATCTATTGTATTCCTGATCAGAACATTCAGTAGTTAGATTGCTTTTAATGCAACGGATTTGGTCATCAGGTAAATACACATTTGAAAATCCATTCATTAAAAATTTATTAAGCTGCTACAAAGCAGTGAGCTAAGTGTTTTGAGGATGATTAAGACTGTACCTATCCTCAGTGAAGCCCACTTCTCTTAATATAATGATAACTAGCTCTTAATATTCATCATTAGTTTCAGTCTCTATATTACCATCGATCAGAGCAATTGCTATAGAAATAATGATAATCTGTTTTCAGCAGTGAGCCCAATTTCTGTTCTCCTACCTACAGGAGCTCTCCAGTTTTCTCCTAAATTTGTATTAAAAACTTACTCTACCTGGTTTCTGTAATTCAGACCTAAGGATCTCTCAAGCTTAGTGTCAACCTCTGCTTCCTTTTGCCATATGGGCTAATAGATACCTGTGGTCTAAAATGAGCTAATCTCACTTGATTACTGAAACATCTGACTTATTTCTACAGATTTTTATTTTGTTTTGTTTTAGCTTTTTGATAGCAACTAAACTTAACATAAACTAAGGAGTGAAATGTGTACTCTTTCTCTTCCTCCCATGACCCTTTTTTTCTGCCTCATCAGAGGACATATTAGGTAGGAAATACTTCCTGTGCCCTTCCTCAGAAGTTCTTCTCTAATTGGAACATGTCTGAAAACCACACAGGTGCCTTTCTGACTTAGGGAAATCACTTTCCTTTTTTTATGACTCATGTTTTAGGCATAGATGCTTTGGGGAGCTAATACAGCATTCTTGAGAAATAGATATTTATATAAACTATTTTCTTTCTTCTTGATGATTTTGGTTTTAAGATCACAAACTTAGAAGAACAACTAGAGCAGTTTAGAGAAGAACTGGAAAATAAGAATGAAGAAGTTCAGCAACTGCATATGCAATTAGAAATACAGAAAAAGGAATCTACTACCCGCTTAGAAGAACTTGAACAAGAAAACAAATTATTTAAGGTAATTAGTTCAGAAAAGCTTTTGTCTATAAATAATTCATAGTTTTGTTCCTGTTTAGCTTTAGTAAGCGTTTGCAAAGCTGACTGTTAAATAATACTTAACAGAGGTATATTAGCAGGCAAATGGATTTGCATGGAACTTATTTTAAATCCAAACATTTATATTCATCATAAATGAAAATTTTTGAGACTTTTTATCAAAATATTTTAAGAATTATTGAATAACCATATGATCGCTCTAATGTTTTCATTTGTATAGTTTAGACACTATGTATTTTGTAAGAGTTAATTAAAAGAATGATCTAAACATGACATGTAATGATGGAGCCAACTGGAATGGTTATTTTTGTCCCTAGGATGAAATGGAGAAACTGGGATTTGCCATAAAAGAATCTGATGCTATCTCTACTCAGGACCAACATCTTCTGTTTGGGAAATTTGCTCAAATAATACAGGAAAAAGAGATAGAAACTGACCGATTAAATGAGCAAATTACAAAACTTCAGCAGCAACTTAAAATTACAACAGATAATAAGGTATACTCATTCAAAATAGGTTATTACCTGAAATTATTTCGAGCTATATTTAAAGGACAAAATGGTTATAACATTCAGTTTCCTATTGAATTAAAAAACAAATAAATCTTAATTTTCTTTTATCCATTAGTTTTAATGTATTCAGACACGTTGGTTTAACAAGCTATGTGTATTTTTGTCGCCTCCCAATATCATCAGTATCACATAGGGTCATTATAAGTCGAATCAACTCAGTGGCGGTGGATTTGGTTTTTTTGGGTTAATATCATCAAAGGGTTTTAATGTTTTCCAGGGAGTCTCTGATGACTCAGGTTTCATCATATTCTAACCAGATCTATTAAGAGGTTCTCTATTTAGTTATGAGTTAAATAAGATCATTACCTTTTATACCATGTGCTGTATGTAGACTTTTTATTTCAATACCTCATCCTTTTCGGTTAGAATGTATTGATGCTGACTTGTAGGGTCACTATGAGTCAAAATCAACTTGATAGCAATGGATTTTTTGGGTATGGTATTTACTTTGTAGGAAATCAGCTACTAAAAGTGTAACTCACTTTACATTTAGTTGAATTTTCTGAATGAAATTCTAAATGAGGTCCTTGTTTGATATGATGGAGGAAGTATTGGTCTGTATTGAAATTACAGTAACCTAGTATGTCTAAGAAGTATAGTATTGTGTGATTATCTCCTTGAGGTTCTGCCCTGAAAGGAAATGAAATTCCTGAAATATAAATAGCTATGTATTATGTATGTTATCTTTTTTTCATTAACTAATAGGTTATTGAAGAAAAAAATGAACTGATAAGGAATCTTGAAACCCAAATAGAATGCTTGATGAGTGATCAAGAACGTGTGAAGAAAAATAGGGAAGAAGAAATAGAACAGCTCAATGAAGTGATTGAAAAACTTCAACAAGAGTTGGCAAATATTGAACAGAAGACATCAGTAGATGCTATTTCCCTCCCAGAAGAAGCAGATAGTTTAAAACATCAGTTGGATATGGTAGTAGCTGAAAAACTGGCTTTGGAAAAACATTTAGAAACCACTAATGAAGAAATGACCTTCACAAAAAATGTACTTGAAGAAACCAATTTTAAAATGAATCAGCTAACACAAGAATTGTGTAGCTTAAAGGAAGAATGTGAAAACATGAGAAAAATCCAAAGTGTACCAGAGAAAAATATTAACATGTCCGTAGATGATCCAAGCAAAGACAAAACTGAACTAGACATAGTCCTTACCAAGGATTCTGTTAAACCCCTAGAAAATCAGACTTACCTCAAATCTTTTGAAGAAAACAGCAGAGTTTCCATAAGCAGTTTGGAGACAAAGCTGTTCCAACTTGAGAGCACTGTTAGTGCAAAGGAGTTAGAACTTGTCCAGTGTTATAAACAAATAAAAGACATGCGAGAGCAAGGCCTGTCTGAAACAGAAATGCTTAAAAAGAAGATTGTAAACCTACAGAAAATGCTTGAAGAAAAAATTGCTGCTGCTCTTGTGAGTCAAGTCCAACTTAAGGCAGTTCAGGAATATGCTAAATTCTGTCAAGATATACCAGCAGTTTCATCAAAACCTGAAGGAACAAATACACAGAATTTAAATGAACTAAGAGAAAAAGAGATGGAATCAAATATATCTGCATTAACCTTGAGAATATCAGAATTAGAAAGTCAGGTGGTTGAAATGCGTTCTAGTTTGACTTTGGAAAAAAAACAAGTACAGATTGCAGAGAATAATGCTTTGGAGAAAGAAAAGAAGCTGCTAGAACTACAGAAGCTGTTGGCAGACAATGAAAAAAAACAGGAAGGAAATGAAAGGAAAAGAACCCCTCAAGATTTGGAAGTCCTTGAGGTTAGTTTATATTTGATTTTTTTCTTAAATACCCTTACAGACTCTCTTTTCCTTAGTTCTTTAAGGTGATTGCTAATTTTACTAAATTAAACATAATGTTCTTTACATCTACCAAGTTACACATAAAAAGTTTTTATAAAATTGTTATTATTATACTGTGCAGTCATACTATTACCACTAGAATAATGGATACAAACTATGTTTTGTGGTCTTTGAATCAGACTATTTAATTCATTAGCATAGTCATTAAATAGAGCAGTCAGAAGAAGCTTTGAAACATTAATGCAGCAGATGTCCCCTAGGACTTATGTGGGTTTTTTCCCCTTACTTCTCTAATATGCATACTGTGTGATCATCCCTTTTAAGTAATGAAAAATATCAAAATATCTTAGTTATACCTGGTATCTTTTGAGGAGAGTGATATAAATGTGAAACTTTAAAATTGTAACAGAATATTTTCATTGATGATTTATAAATTTTTAGGGTATCTACTATTGATATTTTTTTACCTTTCATTACATGAAAACCATTCTTTTCTTGTTGTCTCAAGAATATAAAATGATGGTTCTGAAAAAGTTTCTCTATGAGAGAGTATTAATCATTTCAGCCCCTTTTATTGGGAGACAGGCATTCCTGAAAAGCTTCATTAGAATGGCTACGTGCCTTCAAATTGGTTATATTTTTTGAAAATGATATATTTCTTATGTTTTCCATTGCCATTCAGACAACTACTGAACTGTTCCACACCAATGAAGAAAATATATTTTTTGGAGAACTAGAGACTCTTCGAGCTGAGTCAGCAGCTACCAAAGAAGAACTTGCCAGTTATAAAGAGATCGCAGAAAAGCTTCAAGAAGAACTTTTGGTAAAATAAGTACCATGGTTCCTAATTCACTTATTTCTGCCTGTCTTAATTTCATGTCGAAGTATTTTCTGTAAAAACAAACCCAGATCCATAACTTAAACACTAGAAAAAATAGTATTTTGTCAATTTGATAAAAAGTTCTATGATTATAAATTTCTTTACCAGCATCTACTTGCTTGGTTTTCCTGGAGTCTTTGTTAAGAGAATGTTTTTAACCTCTAATGTGTCAGTGAAGAAGGAGAAAGACAGTTATTAAAGAGGATCATATATCCCATGAGAACCAAAAGTAGAGGCTGATAAAATTTCGTTTCTGTAACTAATATATAACTATACATATAGGAGTTATATATGTGTATGTGTGAAACCATGAGTGTTTCAAAAATGTTTTTCCTATTATTCTGAGGAAAATGAACGTATTAGCATGAGTTATACTCCCCCTGCTTCTAAATTCTACATTTGATGTGGGAAAAATTTAACTAAAGGCTCTACTGTTCTATTCATTATGTTTTAGGTAAAAGAAACAAATATAGCATTTCTTCAGAAAGACTTAAGTCAAGTTGAGGATCAACTTGCAGAAGCAAAAGAGAAATTATCGTACTTCTTAGAAAAAGAAGATAAGATGGAGGAACAAGAAAACAGAAAGGTCTGCAGCTTAGAGCCACTTCCTATTAAAGTCGGTAAAAACTCTGCATCCCAGACAGACGGGACACTCGAGGTCAATAGCAGCAATCAGACCCCACAAGTTCTTGTTAGAAACACAGGGATCCAAATTGATTTACAGAGTGAATGTTCATCCGAAGAAGTCGCTGAAATAATCAGTCAGTTTACTGAAAAAATTGAACAGATGCAAGAATTACATGCTGCTGAAATTTTGGATATGGAATCCAGACATATTTCAGAAACTGAAACCTTAAAAAGGGAGCATTACGTTGCTGTTCAGTTACTGACAGAGGAATGCAGTTCCTTGAAGGCAGTGATACAGTGTTTGAGAACTAAAGAGGTACTTGATTTTCATAATTTGTATTTTTAAATAGTCTTTGATCTTTTAAAACAGTCTATGTTTTTAAAAGAAAAAGAAGTTTAGGGACAGCCTCTTCCTTACAATACAATTACAGTGTTAAATTTTTCCGTTGCATAGAGTTAGATAATAACTTTCCAAAAAGTTCTTGTGTCGATTTGGAACCTGATGTTATCATTCGTTAATTCATGAATGTCTCTTCTTATAACAGTAATATCCGTGAGGAAAAAAATTAAAAACTTGTTGAAAACCATGGCTAGTTTTATTAATTGTGAAAGATGTGACAGATTTAATTGATTTTTTTTTTTTCCCCCTTGTTAGGAAAGACAGTGTTAGGAAAGAACAAAACTATTCATTGGACCATATTTTTATTAAGGCAAAAAATGTTTGTTTGTTGTTTTATTTTCTCTAATTAGGGATCCTCAATTCCTGAATTAACGCATTCTGACTCTTACCAAAATAGAGAGATATGTTCCAGTGGTAAGTTATATAAATTTCTAGAGTTTTTATAGTATTCATTTAAAAAGAATTTTTATATGGTAAATGATTGCTTTCTTTATTCAGATTCTGGATCAGACTGGGGTCAGGGAATTTATCTTACACAAAGTCAGGGATTTGACGCAACATCAGAAGGCCAAGAAGAAGGTGAAAGTTCAACAGATTCATTTCCAAAGAAAATAAAGGTACTAAACAACAGATATTTCCTAGTAAATTTAGCCAGTGTGACTTCTACATTGAACATAGTAGTTTATTTAGAGGGGATATAGTAGGGTCCTCTCTGAAAAAATAGTTTTGTAGCTAGAAGGAACCTTGGGGATCAATTGAGTCTCATTTCCTTATTTTACAAATAATAAAATACAATATGTTTAAGGATTATATGAAGTTTTTTTTTTTTAATACTTTTTTTCCTGATATTTCTGTTTGCCAAAATTACTAAAACAGTCTCAGGTACATTAAGTTTTTACCCATGTATTTCTTTCAGTTAGATCAGTAAGTGTTCATTAAATATGAGGAACACATTAGGTAAATAGAAGGAACTTAGAGATAACTACACAAAGTCATAATCTACTGGGTTGGCTTCCCCTTCCATAGGAGGAAGACATCAGTAATGGAGAGCTGGGGTTTCCTGTCTGCAGTGGCTTTACTAAATCATTCAAGCTAGATGAAGATATCTACCTTAAATTTGATTTTTCTTTGTATCTCTAAATCTTGCAGTCCCTGAAGAACTTGTCTTAATTCTGGCTTTGGGGTTTTGGTTTCTAGGGATTACTGAGAGCTGTTCATAATGAGGGTATGCAGGTACTCTCTCTCACCGAGTCTCCCTATAGTGATGGAGAGGACCATTCTGCTCAGCAAATTTCCGAATCTTGGCTAGAAGAGAGAAGAGCTTACCTCAGTACAATCTCATCTCTTAAGGATTTAATTACCAAAATGCAGGTGCAGAGAGAAACCGAGGTACCCAAAGAATGTTATCGATCTAAGTATTCATATTATTTTTATTTTATTTATATTATGTTATTATATATGTTATACTATTTTTAAGGCACTTTTCAAATTGTTATCTTTTATGACATGTTTTCACATGAATTACTATAACTATTACTGCCACATCTTTCTCCCATGGAGTGGCTGGTGGGTTCAAACCACTGACCTTTCGGTTGGCATCCGATCACTTAACCACTGAGCCACCAGGTCTCCTTATGAATTACTATATATTGTTTAAGTGCTCTAAGTCACACACTTGAAAATAAATCATGTATTCTTAGACTTTTAATACTTATTTTGATTGAGATTTACAGCATTATTTAGAACATTTGAAAAACATCCTGATTTGAAAACTAACTTTTGTTTTTTATACTTTGCTAGGCTTATGATGGTTCTCAGTCTCATGAATGCTTCTCAGACTGGCGAGGTGAACTTCTGATTGCCCTTCAGCAAGTTTTCTTAAAGGAGCGCAGTGTCTTACTAGCTGCATTTCAGACTGAGCTGACGGTTCTAGGCACTAGAGATGCAGCTGGGTTATTAAACTGTTTGGAACAGAGAGTACAAGAACAGGTATTAAAATGAAACACTTCTAAATAGTAATAAGAGGCTAAATTACTGATTAATTTTAGAGTTTTAAGTTCAGTATGAAAGATAAAATTTTAACAGGAACCACTAAGAATATTTAGAAGAAAAATTATTACCTTAAGTGTTCTGCCTTATGTTAGAAAATAAGAAAGACTAAAAATTAATGAGTTAGTCATCCAACTTAGGAAGTTAAACAAAGAAAAACAGAATGAACCTAAAGAAAGTAGAAAGAATAAAATAATAAAGAAGAAATTAATGAAATATATACACTGTTACAATAGAGAGTATCAAAAAGTTATTAGTTGGTTCTTGGAAACAGCTAAAAGTACAGAAACATTTCTGGGGAGGGTTGGTTAAAAAAAGAGAAAGCACTTTCTTTTTAATGTAAGAAAAAAAATGCTATTAAAATGAAACATGTGAGAGCTGGAACTCAGTGGGACTGCCTTGTTTTTCCTGGTCTCTCAAGTTTTCTGCCTTTGACAGGGTGCAGTCTTACCACTTTTCTGTCACTCATTTTAGTAGAAAATATTAGAGTTTTCCTTCTTACACAGCTTCTAGCTTTCACAGCTTTTACTGCATAACTGAACATACAGCTGAGATTTAAAAATAAGAGAACATTATGAAAATTTTTATGTCAATAAATTTAAAGTTGATGAACAAATTTTCTAGAAAAATGTCATTTATCAAAACTTCATTCAGGAAGAAATAGAAAACCTGAAAAGACCTATAACTAGTAAAGGGGTCAAATCAGTAGTTAAAAATCTACTCACAACTCTTAGTGCCCAGATCTCAGTTTATAAAAACATTCTTTGTTAAAAGGAAACCAGGGCTCCTTGGAGAAAGGACTGATTCTTAGGTTGAGGCAGGAGAAGTACAAGATAAGCCTGGAATATTTTGTTTTGCTGGAAGGTAAGGAATTGCTCAAAGAACAAAGGGGACACATCAAAAGGTCACAGAAGCCAGGTTAAAGGAGCTCCCACTGGCCAAATTTGGGACAATTTGAGCATCAAACTAAATAATGACAGTGATGGATTATAAACCAGAGTATAAAAATTTATGAGTTGATACTGATGTAAATAAATAGGAAAAACTTTCTTACAGTAGAACACCAAGTAGGAAACACAGAAAGAATAAAGGAATGATTTAATTAGAAAATCACCATTTATTAAATACTTTAATCAGTTCAGTAAATATTCAGCAGTGGATGCTAAAACTAGTACAAATAAGTTCAACAGTTTCTACATGTACAATTCAGTGACATTGATTACATTCTTGGAGTTGTGCAACCATTCTCACCGTCCTTTTCTGAGTTGTTCCTCCCTCATTAACATAAACTCACTGTCCTCTAAGCTTCCTATCTAATCTTTAGAGTTGCCGTTGTCAGTTTGATCTCATGTAGATAGGTCTTAAAAGAGCATAATGCTCAAGGCAGACATTTTTTACTAGTTAAGCTAAACTATGGTTTGGTTTTAAGAAGACTTCAGGGGATATTTTTGGTTTAAAGTTTAAAGATTATCTCAGAGCAATAGTTTTGGGGGTTCGTCCAGCCTCCGTGGTTCCAGAAAGTCTGGAGTCCATGAAAATTTGACATTCTGTTCTACATTTTCCCCCTTTTGATTAGGTTTCTGCTATAGGCTCTTTGAACAAGATTCTTTTTAATTGCAAGAGGAAAAACAGTAAATTTACAGTTGAGAAAGTTTGCAGACACCACCTTAACCAAGTGCTCAGAGTTAACATCACCAGTAATAGTACAAATAGACATTGTGTTATCTCCTGATACGATGCATTGTGAAGGACACAACATCTTTTGTGGTACCTCTGTTAAAAATGCATAACTCAGATCTAATCATGGGGGAAATACCAGACTGAAAAGTAATGGAAGCCACTATACATCTATCAGAAAGGCCAAAATAAAAAGTGGTGACAACACCAAGTGCTGGTAAGGATGCAGAGAAACTGCATCTCTCATACATTCCTGGCAGGAATATAAAGTGGTAGAGCAGCTCTGGAAAATAATCTGGCAGTTTCTTTTAAAGTTGAACATACACTTACCATATAACCTAGCAATTAGACTTATAGGTATTTAATCAGACAAAAGTGAAAACTTATGTCTCCATAAAAACCTAAACATGAATGTTGTGTCAATCGAAAAATAGACAAATGATGTAAATACATGTTCGTAGAAGACAATAAACATGAAAAGATGCTCAAATAAAATGTATTTTATGATTCATACAATGGAATACTATATATACATCAGTGAAAATGTGAGCTGGAGCTACATGTCTCCAGCTGGGTGATTTCACCAACAAATTAAGTGAAAAAAGGCAGAGTGCACAAGGATAAACACAATATGGTGCCATCTATCTAAAATTTTTAATACATGCAGAACAATACTGTATGTTGCTTTGCATGTGTGGTGTGTCTGTGTTTTAAATACAAGCATAAGGAGTGCATGAAAATAATAAACACTGAATTTAGAATTTGCTTATTTCTTGGCCAGGGGATGCAGAGGAGGATGTGTTCAGGGAAGTGTACACAGGGGGTTATAGCTGTGCTATTTCTTAGGCTAGGTATCTGGGTGTTTATTATATTACTCTTCATGTTTTATTATATGTTTCGATTTGGTTTTTTTTCCTGAAACAAATACATACTTTTGTGTGTGTGTGTGTGCTTTAGGTGAAGGTTTACAGAGCAAATTAGTTTCCAATGCAATAGTTTATACACATATTGTTCCATGACATTGGTTACAATCCCCACAGTGTGTTAGCACTCTCCCCATTATCACTCTGTGTTCCCCATTTCCATCCATGTGGTTTTCCTGCCCCTTCCTTCTTTCTCATCTTTGCTTTCAGGCATATTTTGTCCATTTGGTCTCATATAGATGATTATTCTAAGGAGCACTTCCCTCACGTGTTGCATTGTGTTTTTATACGCCTGTCTATTATTTGGCTGAAGGGTGATCTCAGAGAGTGGCTTCACTTCCAAGTTAAAAGGGTGTCTAAGGGCTGTAGTGTCGGGTTCCTCCAGTCTCTCTCAGACCAGTAAATCTGGTCTTTTTTATGAATTTGAATTTTGTCCTTTCATTTTTTTCCCCCACTTTAACTGAGACCTTCTATTGTGATCCTGGTCAGAGCTGTCTGTAGTGGTAGCCAGGCACCATCTAGTTCTTCTGGTCTCAGGCTGGTGGAGACTGTGGTTCCTGTGGTCCATTAGTCCTTTGAAATAATTGGTTCCTTGAGCCTTTGGTTTTCTTCATTCTCCTTTGCTCTAGACGGCAAGAGACCAGTAGTTCTATCTTAGATGGCAGCTCTCGAGCTTTTAAGACCCCAGACGCTACTCACCAAAGTAGGATGTACAAAATTTTCTTTATGAACTGTTATGCCAGGTGACCTAGATGTCCCCCGAGACTGTGGTCATTAGCCTTCAAGCCCAGTTACTTAGTCCTGTGAGGTGTTTGGTTATGTCTAGGCTGTTTCCATGACTGTGCCCTGTGTGCTTTGTTACATACATGAATATACATGCAGCACATGCAAATACCTATGTAGAAATACCCATAGCCAAACCTATACATGCACATGGGTGTACTCCCATAGGCCCTCCCACACATATTCAGCATACATATCGACTTATATATCCAGTCATAAATTATTGTTTGTTACTACTGTTGTTGCAGGATTGTGTATGTTTGAGTATTCACCATCATTGCCTTTTATTCTTGTGTACCTCTCAGTGTCTTCCCTTGCCTTGGTCATGTTGTGCTGACTTCTACCATATTGTGTACTGCCTTCCCTTTCACCAAAGTCAACATATGTCTGCTCTCTAGTTAGTGATTTTCTCTCCCTCCCCCTCCCATCCTTGGTTAGTAACCATCAAAAAATGTTTCTTTCTGTGTGTAAACCATTTCTTGACTATTTATAATAGTGGTCTCATACAGTATTTGCACCTTTTGTGATTAACGTATTTCGTTCAGCATAATCTCCAAATTCATCCATGTTATGAGGTATTTCACGGTTTCATTAGTATTCTTTATCGTTTTGTAGTATTCCATTGTGTGTGTGTACCACTGTTTGTTTATCCATTCAACCATTGATGGACCCTTAGGTTGTTTCCATCTTTTTGCTATTGTGAGTAATGCTGCAGTGAACATGGGTGTGCATGTCTATTCTTGTTATGGCTCTTATTTCTCTAGGATGTATACCTGAGAGTGGGATTGCTGAATCATATGATATTTCTATTTCTAGCTTTTTAAGGAAGCACCATACCGTTTTCCATAGTGGTTGTACCATTTTACATTCCCACCAGCATTTTATAAGCTTTTCAGTTTCCCCACAACCTCGCCAGAGTTTGTTGTTTTCTGTTTTTTTAACCAGTGTCATTATTGCAGGGATGAGATGGTATCTCATTGTAGTTTTGATTTGCATCTCTCTAATGGCTAATGATAGAGAGCCTCTCTTTATGTGTTTGTTAGCTGTCTGAATATCTTCTTTGGTAAAGTGTCTGTTATGTCCTTTGCCCATTTTTTAATTGGGGTGTTTGAAATATTTTGAAATAAATGTAAAAATTGTTATCTAAAAAGTAAATCCTAATGAACAGAAAGAGAAAAATAACATGATTCCAAAATTTTAGCATGTGTATTCCATTCATTCTTTAGACTTCCAGGTTGTTAATTTTATTGTCTTTATAATTCCCTTTTTTTTTTAAACTTTGCTTTGTTACAGGGTCTGGAATATCAAGCAGCTATGGAATGCCTGCAGAAAGCAGACAGAAGGAGTTTGTTATCTGAAATTCAAGCACTGCATGCTCAGATGAATGATAGGAAAATGAATCTGAAAAGAGAACAAGAAAATGATCCATCAAGCCAAGGTTTGTTGTATGATTCCTGTTTGGCTCCTATGGTTATGCAAAGAGGTGGACACGTTTCCAGTTTGATTCCCTTCTTATTATAATTACTCAGTTAAAACACTTTTCTTCTTAGTCACATTTTCTTCTCATTCTCATAACATTAAGGAAATAATCTACATTAGTTAAAAGATTGTCTACTTGGTTTTAAACGTCTATTTTTAATTTAAAATCAACAGTCATTGTCTTAATCGGGTTGTTAAGCCCGTTGAGTTCATTATCTTTCTTTGTTTTAAAGCTCTTTCTTATACTCTTTACAAGGTGACTACCTAAAAGAAAAAGAAATCTACAAAGAAACTATTTTTAATCCCTTTTTTATTATAAACTGTAACACAGAAAAGTGGAAAGCATAAATATACAGTATGACAAATTGTTAAATGACTATCTGTGGAATCATCACTCATGTCAAGGAGTATTGCCAGTATTCCAAAAGCACTGTTCCCAAACACTCTACTGTATGGTAACCTAGAGATAGCCATTATCGTGAATTAATTAATTAATTAATTTTTTAGTTTTATTACCTATTTATGTATTCCTAGTCCATGTAAGTTTAAAAAGTTTTTCCTGTTTTTGAGCTTTATCAATCTATATGTATTTTGTGTTTTCCTTTTTTTTACTTTATAACATTCATCCAAGTTACTGCATTTATCTGTTAGTGCATTCAGTTTTACTGTATAAAATTCCCTTGTGTAGATGTTCCATGGTTTGTACATCCATTCCGTGGTTAAACATTTCTACTTTTTAGGTCTTACGGTTATTTCTGCTTCTTAGGTATTACAATCAGTGCTCTTTTGGGTGTTGTTATACAATGTTGCCTGATGCGTATGTGCGTGAGTTTTCTAGGTGTATACTTAGGAATGGATTGCTGGGCCATGGGATGCATATCTTCAAATTTATTAGATAATGCCCGACTGTTTTTCAAAGTGGTTATCTTAATTTGTGCACTCAGTTTGCTTCACGTCTTTGCCAACAGTTGGTATTGTCAGTTTTTTGCAGTCTGGTGGGTGTTCGATTCTGACTCACAACAACCCTATAGGACAGAATCGAACTGCCCCATGGGGTTTCCAAGGCTGTAAATCTTTATAGAAGCAGAGTGCCACATCTTTCTCCCACAGAGCAGCTGGTGGGTTCAAACTGCCAACCGTTTGGTTAGCAGCCAAACACTTTGACCACCATGCTACCAGGGCTCCTTTGATGGGTATGCAGTGGATTCTTACTGTTGTTTTCATTTACATTTCCCTAATCCCTGAAGTTGTTTAGTACTTCCTCATATGATTGGTTCGTTATATTTCAGCTTTTGTGAGGTACTCGTTCAGGTGCTTTGCCCACTTTTCAGTAGGGATGTCCGTTTAAATTGAGTTACAGGTGAAAATGATTAGAGATTAAAATGAAATCTAATTTTCATCATGTCTAGTGAACACACAGGTCCGTGTCTTCGGGTTTGTCTAATAAAATGCCAGAAACTCCCACGCTTTTGCAAATTTTGAAAGTTATAGTTTAGCCTCACGTTTGCCATTTGATAAGCTGAAGCAGATTAAAATTATTTTAGAAAAAACAGATATAAAGAGAGAAACAAATCCCTTATATCTAGACATAGGCTTAATGAAAGATTGTTTTAGAGGTAATTAATTAGTATTATTTTCTTTAAGTTAAATAGAACCCCATGAAAACGTAATTAGTATTACATAGGTTCATATTTATATATGTAAAAGCTTAGACTGTGTCCCCAAAATAATAGTTTTGAAAGCCTAAATTAACATGATTGAGTATCTTCAGAGATAATGTTATTCCTGTGCCCTACAATCAGTAATATAAACGGGATCTACTCTGATAGAATTATTTTTAGTTTAAAAAATTTTTTTTCTCATTACAGTAGTATTACCCATTTATGGTAAAATAGAGGAACAAAGAAATAGAGTAAAAATCCACCCATCATTCCACAGTCCTAAAATAATGTTTATTAACACCTGGGTAAATATGTCTTCAGAGCTTTTCAGTGTGCATGTATACATAAGTTCATATTTTTTGCAAATAATGGGATTCTGATACGTATTTTCTAACTTTTTTCATTTCATATACTTAGGTATTTAAATTTTTAATTTGTTTTCATTGCAACAGACATGTAGCAAGGGTTTGTTTGGTTTTTAAAGAAAAAACTGTGATCCAAACTGGAGTTTGGACTTCCCACTTCTGGAGACAGAGTTATAGTAACATTTCAGGGAACTGGCTGCAAAGGGGACTGAACAACATAAGCAAACAGTACTGATCATTGCAGTCATAGTTACATGGATAACTCCTGCAAGTAATTTGTGTGGCTGTCAAAATTCATTGGAATGTTTTAGTGTGAGCTTTGGAAATTCTGAATGAACAAATACTACCTAATGATATTACTGTGTGAACTTTTAAAGGTTTTTTTACATTTTAAGCCTTGCATCCATTACTGTGTTCTTTTAAACTTTTATTATCCTTGTATGAATATATTTATAATTTTGGAATCTTCACTGTGTAAGGAAGCTATGCATAACATATATTTATACAATATTACCAACTTTTTTGACTATTTTCATATTTGCTTTGTGATAATCTCGTACTAACTTACACATCAGTTCTTATTAACACAATACTTATAAGCCAGATCAAATTTTAAATATTAATAATGTTTCATTCAGAACTTCTGGAATATAATATGCAGCAGAAGCAGTCTCAAATGCTAGAGATGCAAGTGGAACTTAGCAGTGTGAGAGACAGAGCAACAGAACTGCAGGAACAGCTGAGCTCGGAGAAGATGGTGGTTGCCGAACTGCAGAGTGAACTTGCACAAACTAAACTGGCGCTGGAAACAACCCTCAAGGTGCAGCATAAGCACCTAAAGGAATTAGAAGCGTTCAGGTGTGCCAAGCTGCCTTATTATAAACCTGTATTAGTGGAGGAATTGGAGGAATTTTGTCATAAACTTTGCAAATATTACAGAAATATAACATTGTTCGTGGTGTTTAGATAGCATGAAGCTATGTTGTTTATAGAAAAAAACTACAGTGGAAAAGGAAAAAAAAATTTAATGTAGTATTAAAAGAAAAAGAGACCCAAGATGCTTGCAAGAGATTGCTCTGAATTATGCTCTAATACTTTTTTCCAAATCATAAACTCATGATTAGGAATCAGCATATTCTCTACTGGGGCTTCAGTTCTACTTGAGATTTATTACTGTATAACTTATAAAATGTTGACCTTTATTTTACCAGCAAGTAATTTGAAGTGATATTTATGATCTTAATGGGATTCATGATGTAGGTAACTAAAATATGCATAGTACTTGAAGAGAGAATGCTTGCAAGTTGTAAATACTGAATGTGTCTGCTTGCCAAAGACACATTCCAAGTACAGTCGTTGTTTAGTTTGAACAGAGGTTTCTTACACACACAAAAAAAAAACTTGACGATTCCAATGGTTGGTAAAAGACAAGGGAAAATTTTTATTGACATTATTTTGTTTGCATTGGTAAATAATAACTAATAGTTTTACTACTAAAAACAACTCATTTGAAATGAACCATAGTCAACAATCTTTAACCTTTACATGGTTTATATTTTTCCAATTACCTGGCTTACAATATGCGTCAGTCTAGGGGGCAACTTTTCATTGGAAGCTGGGATTTTTTTCCTCTTACTCTATACTTGGTCAAAATAGTTTCATGAAAGTTCATTTGTCTCTCTAATTTAGGTTGGAAGTTAAAGAAAAAACAGATGAAGTACATTTGCTTAATGATACATTAGCAAGTGAACAGAAAAAATCAAGAGAGCTCCAGTGGGCTCTGGAGAAAGAGAAAGCCAAATTGGAACGTAATGAAGAACGGGATAAAGAAGAACTTGAGGTAGTGTTATCTGTGTCTTTAAATGGCACTGGAAAACCCAAAACAAAAGAAGAGAGAGAGTCTTGGGTCTTGGGACACTCTTTTTAAAATTTCAGCCTTAGACTTTTTTATGAAGTACAGTAAGTTTTTCAGTATGTGCTAAATACTGTTGTAAATGTTATCTAAAATGTATTATAAGGAAATGCTAATGGTGTGATGATTTTTTGTTTGTTTTGCTACATCCAAGGATGCAACGCATTGTTCTACTCCCACATATATTTTGGTGATAGAAATTAGTGCACACATGATTTGGTAAATAGGGAAGTTATGTCAGTTTAATGCAGAAGTAGTGCTGGTTTCTGTAATTTGTTTGTCTTAGTCAAGGAGAGCAGGCATAGTGTGAGTAGAATTACTCAGCTCTGTCCTCATCAGGACCTTTTCTGGCAGCAGGAGCCGCTGTTACTATATTTTAAGAAAATGTAAAATGAGTCTCTTCACTCTGGGCACTGTCTTAGAGAGCCACACCTCAGCTTTGCATGGCTGTCAGCTCAAGGCAGGTTGTGCTGCATCCCATGCCCACTTGAATGGTAGCCCCACTAGTGCAGAAAGATTATTATTTTTAGGGGAAATATAATCTGCATCATATTCCTTAGCCAGATGTAAGATGAATGTTTTGGGAGAAAGTATTATTTAGCTTACCGATCTTTTGTATACATTTCTTGATGAAAATCAATATTTTGTCCAAATAATTATGCTCTAGCCACTGAAAATTTAAGTTGATAAGCTGATAATCGGTTCTATATTCTATTAGCAAATATTATCAATTTAATATTAATAAAAGCATGGTTGTATACTTATAAAATATTTTTATAATAGGAACAATTTCATAAATTTTGTTTTCTCCTACAAGGATCTAAAATTTTCACTTGAGGGTCAGAAACAAAAGAATATTCAGCTAAGTCTACTTTTGGAACAACAGAAACAACTGGTAAATGAGTCACAGCAGAAAATAGAATCGCAAAGAGTGATATACGACACCCAGTTATCAGAAGAACAAAGTCGAAACTTAGAGCTTCAGGTACTTCTTGAGTCGGAGAAAGTTCGAATTGAGGAAATGAGAAGTACCTTGGATAGGGAAAGGGAACTGCATGCACAGCTACAGAGCAACGATGATGATGGACAGCCTCGGCCATCCCTACCCTCTGAGGACCTACTCAAAGAGCTACAAAAACAGCTAGAGGAGAAACACAGTCGCATAGTTGAATTGTTAAACGAGACTGAGAAATATAAACTGGATTCTTTGCAAACAAGACAGCAAATGGAAAAGGATAGGCAGGTTCACAGGAAGACTTTGCAGACAGAACAAGAGGCCAACACTGAGGGACAGAAAAAAATGCATGAGCTCCAGTCTAAAGTGGAAGATCTTCAGCGGCAGCTGGAAGAGAAAAGGCAGCAAGTTTATAAGTTAGACCTCGAAGGAAAGCGACTTCAAGGAATTATGCAGGAATTCCAGAAGCAAGCGCTAGAACGAGAAGAAAAACGAGAAAGTAGAAGAATTTTATATCATAATCTTAATGAGGTACATTGACACTTTCTTTTATATATTTTTTAAAAACAATGTTGTAGCCCTTTGATCATGAAATTTTGATATTGGGTTAAATTAGTTAAATAGCTATGTCAAAATCGTTGTAAAATGAAGTCTATAGAAGTTAATTTGGAATATGAATAATAATTGTGTTTCTGTAAGAAAGAATTTGTGATATCCTGTTTGTTTATATTCATTACTTTTTCCTTTTCTGTCCAAAATTGCCAGCCAACCACATGGAGTTTAACCAATGATCGAACTAGAAATTGGGTTCTTCAGCAGAAAATAGAAGGAGAGACAAAGGCATCAGGCTATCCTAAACTGATGGAAATGAATGGAGGAGGAATTGGCTGTAATCATGAATTAGAAATGATCAGACAAAAGCTTCAACGTATGGCTTCAAAACTACAGCATCTAGCTCAGAAAGCTTCTAACAGGTTAGTCTTTTCTGTCTGACCTTTGTAAATGGCTTCCTTAAGCTGGACAGAATCCGTTACTGTCCCTTGCCAATAGGTAGCTACATGGGGAACTGAAATTTTAAAGTTAATTAATGTTTACATTGGGAGATTATATTCTTTAATAAAACTTATACACTTCAACAAATATCTTAACACCTTGACCTAAGGCAAGAGCACCTTTAATGTAAGGGAGAAGTGATAGATGTGAGAGATTGTTGCCTAACCTGTAGTCTTTGTGCTAGTAAACACCCCAAATTGAGAAGGTGTGTTTTGACTCTGTGTTTTTTTCTTTAAGACTACAGTTTGAAACAGCAGATAATGAAGATTTCATTTGGGTTCAAGGAAATATTGATGAAATTATTTTACAACTACAAAAACTAATTGGCCAGCCAGTCGAAGAGGTAGGATTTTTCTTAAACTCTTTCCAAAGCATTGAAAGTAAGGTTTAACAGAAACTATATGGATCATTTGAACCTGACAGCATATTTTCTAAAGAGTTTTATTTTTATCTATTTATTTTAAATATTAATATCAATGTTCCCTCCCCCCAATAGAAGATAGTAAAAGTTTGGGGGAAAATTAACTTCCATTATCATTATTGCATAATTACATTGACCTTTTATTGTATTATTATAGTAAGAGACCAAGCTTCTTGAAAGAGTAGTTTGAACCCACTGCTGCCACCTGCTCACCTCCCATCCACTCTCCCTCACCACTTTTATCCTCACCACTCCACGAAACCACCCTCAGAATGCTGCCAATGCCTTCACAACTGACTAATCTGGTGAACCTTTTCAGTCCTTGTCTTTCTTGGTATTTCTGTGACATTTGACGCTTTTGACCTCTTACTTCTTAAAACTCTCTCTTTCCTTGCTCTTTGTGTCAGTATTCTCCCATTTACCCCACTTCCTTCCTCAGTCACCTGCACATTCTCCTCTTCCTCTGGCTGCCATCCATCTCTTTCTCTAACTCTCACTATGAAAGCTCATCCATCCCTACAGCCTAAGCTCTCACTGGGCTTATTTACTGAACAAGGACATATATTGAGCACCTACTATGTGCCAGGTACTGTACTAGGTTCTGGGGATACAGTGAACAAAACAGATAAACTCACCTTATGGAGCTTACCTTCTAGTGGACTGTGGTTCTAGCCTTTCTCCTGAGGGCCAGGCTTATATTTTCAGTTAGTTAGTAGGCATCTTTCTGTGGGGAAATGTACCCAACAGGGACCCTAAAGGTACCTCACAGGCGTGTTCCAAACTTTCTCCTTCCTGTCCTATACCCACATTTCTACCTATAGCCCTGATCATGGCCGCGGTATCTTCCAGTTTAGAAGGCTAGAAGTCGTCATAGGCTACCTTTCTTCACTCTTACACATCAAGGCAGTCACTAAGCCCTGTGCCTTCTGCCTACTAAGTATCTGTCACATCTGTCCTTTATTCTCCAGCCTTTGGTCATTGCCTTCATTCAGGCCTCTGGCATTTCTCATCTAGACTATTGCAACAACCTACTGATGTGTCTCCCTGACCCAGGATCTGTCTTCCCTACCTCACTCATTGCACACTGCTGCCAGAGTAATCTAATACATACATTTTGTTTGGGGCATGCTCCTGCCTAAAGCCCTTCATGGCGCCCCATTGCCTACAGTTAGGTCTTTTATCCATAGAGTGATGGCAGCCTATACTCTGGCATTACCAAGCAACTTGTAGTTCTCCTGAAAAGTAACACACTCTTAGTCAGGTCTTTGTGCTATACACATGCTGTTCCTTTTTCTGCTTGGTAAATCCCTGCTTATTATTTAAGACTCAATTCAAGCATCACCTCTTCATGAAATCTATTGCTGTCAGTGCCTGTCCACATTTTATGTACATCATTCACATACATTTGTGCTTATATGACCTTATGCCATTTTTATTTTTTCTTTTCTAGCCTAGCTTAGTTTCCCCAAATACTACTACCTGTGGCTCATTGACTGAAAGACTACTGAGACAAAATGCTGAGCTGACAGGACATATCAGCCAACTGACTGAAGAAAAGAATGATTTAAGGAACATGATTATGAAGCTAGAAGAGCAGATCAAGTGGTATCGACAGACAGGAGCTGGTAGAGATTATGTACGTGTATTTTTAGCATGTCCACATGTTAGAAGTAGTGTAAAGTTATAATTCCTGCTATCTCATTTTAACTTTTAACCCTGATAATGTGAAAAATATCAAGTATGTGATTCTTAGTAGGATCTGTGGAAACTGTTTTAGGGATGACAATAGTAAAACCAGCAGCTATAACTTACTGTGAGCCTTCTCTGTATCAGACTCTGGGTTATATAAATACAGAACCTGTAATCCACACCCAGCCTTGCACATGAGAAAGCTGAAGCCAGTAGTCAAACCAAGTTCAGTTTGTCTCTGAAGCCAAGTGCTTTGCTACATATGAAGCAACAGCAGACACGTGTTAAAAAATGTTTAATGTTAAGCATTATAAAGCACTAAAAAAAAGAATCAGACCCATTTCGGTAGAGTCAATTCTGACTCATAGGCCCTAGAAATGTTCAAATGTAAATCCTCACTTTTCTCTTTAGTTATTTATCAGTTATGATGTTCATGACTCACCGTGAAAAATGCCGTTATATTGCGTATTTCACTGTAGTAAAAAATTCCTCTACTCTGGGAATTTATTTAAATTTTTTTTCCTTTTTAAAAAAACTGTAAAATAAATTGCTAGCTTCTGTAAGCACCCAGTATATAGATAGGACTGACCTGTAAGACCACCTTACAGTCGTATACACCCATCCAGCTTCTGTTGTGATCCACTTACACGTGTACATGCTGGTATTGCTTTTTCCCCACTTTTCTAGTGCACTCTTTCAGGCACAAGCTCAGCATCTGGACCCAGATAGGCCAGCTGTTAAGTCTCCTGCCTTTTTAGTTCAAAGCTCTGCTAAATCTGAACACCTTCTCTGAGGCCAGGCTTTCACAAGGATGTTTGGTTATAAAGCTAATCCATGTAGCAAAGGACCGTATACTTAAAGTCAGTCTTTAATGTCAGTTGATAGTGATTTTTACTTTCTTTCTCTGAGGTTGGAAAGCTGAGATTTCTGTAACCACTTTAGAAATACCTTTAATATGTTTAATTTAACCCTTTTTTTTTTTTCTTCTTCAAAAAATTGTTCTTAAAAATCATGCAAGTAAGACTCTGTTCTCTGCAGTCTTCTAGGTTTTCATTCAGTGGTGGTGCCAACATTGATAGCATTATTGCTTCCGAAAAAGAAATCTGGAACAGAGAAAAGTTGGCTCTCCAAAAATCCTTAAAAAGGGCAGAAGCTGAAGTGTACAAACTGAAGGCTGAACTGAGAAATGAAGCTTTACTTCAAAATCTGAGCCCTGATTCTGAGCATGCCACTTTGAAGGTAGGAGACATCTTCTGTCTAAACATACATTACAGTTGATCCTCTGTTTTTGTCTTGTTTCGTATGTCATTGACCTCAGTTGAGCAGGCTAAGGAAATTAAGGTGGTGCTCAGGTTGTGTGTTGCTAGGTCTCTTTATTCAGCCTGTGTCTTGAGTGTGGGTCTATAGCTGGTCATAAAAGGTTTATGGAGAGGTGTGCCCAGGACTGGGACCAGATTAAACTCTATTAATGGTCACAGTCACAGCACCCTTGGTCTTTGGTCCCACTCCGCACAGTCTCATCCCTAATAAACCAACAGAATTTATCTTTTTAATTCCCAACCAAAGCTCTGCCACTGTCATGTAAGAGCATCAACCTCTGTAAGATGGTAATAAACCCTCTGAATAGCTTCTCTTTACAGACTAATAATGAATATTGTAGTAAAAGTACCATTTTTCAACAATATAAATGGCAACTATACACGTGGACCTTACTGAACAGAGTACACAGGAATCAAATCAGCTGCATCTGTGAAAAGAGATGATGGAGAAGCTCAATATCATCAGTCAGAACAAGGCCAGGGGCCGACTGTAGAACAGACCATGTGCAAGTTCAAGGTGAAGCTGAAGAAAATTAAAACGAGTTCACAAGAGCCAAAGTACAACCTTCAGTATATCCTACTGAGTTTAGAGACCACCTCTAAGAATGGATTGCACACATTGAACATTAATGATTGAAGACCAGACCACTTGTGGGATAACGTCAAGGACGTCATATGTGAAGAAAGCAAAAGGTCATTAAAAAAGACAGGAAAGAAAAAAAAGACCAAAATGGATTTCAGAAGAGACTCTGAAACTTGCTCTTGAACACAGAGTAGCTAAAGCGAAAGGAAGAAATAATCACGTAAAAGAGCTGAACAGAAGATTTCAAAATGCGGCTCAAGAAGACAAAGTAAAGTAATGTAATGAAATCTGCAGAGACCTGGATTTAGAAAACAAAAAGGGAAGAATACACTCGACATTTCTCAAGCTGGAAGAACTGAAGAAAAAATTCAAGCCTCGAGTTGCAGTGTTGAAGGATTCTATGGGCAAAATATTGAATGACATAGGAAGCATCAAAAATACACAGAGTCACTGTATCAAAAAGAATTGGTCGACATTCAGCCATTTCAGGAGGTTCCATATGATCAAGAACAATGGTAATGAAGGAAGAAGTCCAAGCTGCACTGAAAGCACTGGCGAAAAACACGGCACCAGGAATTGACAGAATACCAGTTGAGATGTTTCAAAAGATGGATGCAATGCTGGAAGCACTAACTTAACTATGCCAAGAAATTTGGAAGGGAGCTATCTAGGCAACTGACTGGAAGAGATCCATATTGTGCCCATTCCTAAGAAAGGTGATCCAACAGAATGAGCGAATTATTGAACAATATCATTAATATCACACCCAAGTAAAATTTTGCTGAAGATAATTAAAAGCCAGTTGCAGGAGTACATTGACATGGAACTGCCAGAAATTCAAGCCGGATTCAGAAGAGGACATGGAACGAGGAATATCATTGCTTATATCAGATGACGCTTGGCTGAAAGCAGAGAATACCAGAAAGATGTTTACTTGTGTTTTATTGACTATGCAAAGGCATTCGACTGTGTGGATCATAACAAATTATGTATAACATTGCGAAGAATGCGAATTCCAGAACACTTAATTCTGCTCATGCGGAACCTGTGCATAGACCAAGAGGCAACAGCTCGAACAGAACAAGGGGATACTGTATAGTTTAAAATCAGAAAAGGTATGCGTTAAGGTTGTATCCTTTCACCATATTTATTCAATCTGTATGCTGAGCAGATAATCCAAGAAGGTGGACTATATGAAGAAGAACCCAGCGTCAAGATTAGAGGAAGGCTCATTAAGAACTTGCGATATGCAGATGACACAACCTTTCTTGCTGAAAGTGAAGAGGACTTGAAGTACATATTGATGAAGATCAAAGACTACAGCCTTCAGTATGGATTACACTTCAGTATAAAGAAAACAAAAATCCTCATAACTGGACCAGTAAGCAACATTATGATAAACAGAGAAAATACTGAAATTGTTCAGGGATTTTGTTTTACTTGGATCCACCATCAACACCCATGGAAGCAGCAGTCAAGAAATCAAACAACTTATTGCATTGGTCCAATCTGCTGCAAAAGACGTCTTTAAAGCAAAGATGTCAGTTTGAGGACTAAAGTGTGCCTGACCTAAGCCATGGTATTTTTAATCACCTCATATGCATTTGAAAGCTGGACAGTGAATAATGAAGACTGAAGAAGAATTGATGCCTTTGAATTATGGTGTTGGCAGAGTATTGACAAATCTGTCTTGGAAAAAGTACAGCCAGAATACTTCTCGGGAGCAAGGATGGCAAGACTTTGTCTCACTGGTTGTACTTCTCCCAAGACAGATTTGTTGGTTCTTTCGGCAGTCCATGGTATATTCAGTATTCTTCATCAACACCACAATTCAGAGGCATCAGTTCTTCTGTCTTCCTTATTCATCATGGACTTTTGAGGCTACTCTTATTCTCAGATCTTCAAGATGATTCCAGAGACTCGGAATCCACCTTCTAAGTGTTTGCAAGGATCTGTAATAGGTAGTTACAGGAGAAAGATGTGGCAGTCTGCTTCTGTAAAGATTTACAGCCTTAGAAGCCCTATGGGGCAGTTCTACTCCGTCCTGTAGGATTGCTATGAGTCAGTATCGACTTGTTGGTAACAGGTATAGTGGGTAGTTAGTTCATAAATCAAATCTAGTCTACCAATATGTGCATTTGTTTTTAATTTGGATTGAATTGACACAGTCCTTATCCACTCCCTGTTGTTTTATACTCCACTCAGCCATTTTACTCAGTTGTTATTTGTGTGACCAAACACACATGGGTCTGCAATCTCAGATTTAGAGTTTGAACTATTGTAGAGAAGCGCTGGACTGCTTCTTTGTGCTGACCCAAACCCTAAATCTAGTCTTTCTGCTGTTGAAGGCTAAATGCTGAGCGTGTTGCCTAGTGGCTGATTGAAGATTCAGGGTTTAGTGTCTTACTCCCATATTATATCTCCCAGGCCTCACCAAGGACCATTTAAACAGAAAAACCTCTAAAAGCAGTTTCTTTTACTCTTAAATAATTTTCAGATTAGTAGAAGAGTTTGTTATAATTTGTTACTAGCCATTATAGTAAAAGCTGTCTATAGAAAAAGCAGGACTATATGTCTAAGCTTCCATAAAAAACTCTTCTAGAATCACTAGTATCTTTTTGCTTCACTTCCTTTCTCTCTTAGAAATGAAAGGCAGTCTCTGTGTCATGTGATGGAGACCCATTGGGCGAATTTATGTGATACTCTGGTTATCCGCCAGGGCCACAAACACACACCACTTCTTTTCTGGATTCTGAGAGAACAGTTTGAATGACTTCTTATGTTCCTGCCTTCTTTAAACAGAGAATTTATGGTAAATACCTGAGGGCAGAAAGTTTCCGGAAAGCTCTAATTTATCAGAAGAAATACCTGCTGCTGTTACTGGGTGGGTTCCAAGAATGTGAAGACGCCACCCTGACCCTGCTTGCCCGGATGGGAGGGCAGCCGGCCTTCACCGATCTAGAGGTGGTGACCAACCGTCCAAAGGGCTTCACCAGGTTCCGGTCTGCTGTCAGAGTGTCCATTGCAATTTCAAGGTAAAGTACTTGAAAGAGAATGCATTTTAATAGATTTTCTAAAAGATTAGGGTTTTTTTAATCCTCTCCCTGTTTCTTGCCTGTCGTACTGTGTATACATGTAGTGTGAGACATTTGCCATCAGTAAAATATGCTTGCTTAGTTTTCCAGGGATTCATCCTTTTAGCAAGTATGCTTCATGTTGTATTGTATAAACCCTGTGAAGAGGTACGGGCAGCTGGTGACTCAGACTCAAGGATGGCACATCCAGTCTGGGTTGCCTTTTTTTAAAGTATATAGTATAAGCTCATATACTAGCTCAGACATATAAATAAAAGAGAGAATAAAAAGGAAAAATGATTTTTAAGGCGCCTTCCTTAGGTTGACATATACTCATTTTCTTCGTTACTACAACAATCCACTTTTGGGACTGAGCCCTGGAAGGCCCTTGGCCTAAGTGTATTCATGTCAGAGATTAGCCTAAGGGCATTGAACTTTGCTGGTGGTCTTGTCACTCTTTCCCTAGTAGTTCCAAGCTAGAATGTAGTCTGAGCAGGAACTCTGAACTCATTATATAGGTGGTAGAAATGGAACCAAGACTCAAACTACCTGAGTACCTGGCCCACTGCAGTCCTCTGACTTGGTCTATGCCCAGACACCCAGGCTTGTCTGTCTCCCCCGTCCCGTCCCTTTTATTTCTGTAGGAGCCAGCTAGTCTCAAAGGGATTTTGCTCTTTTTATATATGTGTGTGTGTGTATACTTACTTTCCTTTGAAAAATATGATGCAGAATTTTTTAAACTGGAGGCCGTCTGAGAACACCTAGTCCAGGATCTTACTTTACAGATGAGGAAACTGAGGCAGGGAGAGGTTCCAAAGTCATTGGTGATAGAGCTAGGAGAGCGAGCCAGGTCTCCTGAGTCCCAGTCATGCTGGCTCTCTAGCAGGAGCTCAGGTTTTATCTTCTTGATGATTTTAGACCCTCCCTGCTCCTACTGCTGCACCTTGTAGTCTCCTGGTTCCAGTTCCTCCTTCCTTAACTTTCATTTCAAGATAAGTGCTAGGAGATGCATTGTTGAACAAGATATGATCCTCCCCCGAAACGCAGCTTACTTTCTAGTTGGGAACAACACCAATGTGCACATAACTTAGAAGACAGTAAATGGGAGCCCCAGGAGTTAGCCAGTAATTTTGATGAGAGGAATTTGGAAAGGATCCATCAAAGCGGTGCGGTGTAGAAGTTGCCCCTGAAAGGCTTTTCACTCTACCACCCTCTTTCCTTGTCCTCTAAATATATTCATTGTGTTTTGACCCTCCTAAAACTGGGCTTTGAAACTGACTGATATTAAGAAATCAAAACTGGCACTCCAAAAAGCTTCTTGGGCCAGGATGGGGCAGCACAGCCAGCTTGTGGCACTACCACCCGCGCTCCGCTGGAAGCCAGCAGTGTTGTTCACCGCTGCTCATAGAGCCTCGCCCCTCTTCCAGCTTTCCCAGCATTAGCTCACTCTTATCAAATGAAGGGTCTTTTCATTCTCTTTCTACCCCATCTGCCACTTATTCTCTATTCTTTTCTCCTTGTTTCATTACTTCTCTCCCTTCTTTGCCCATCCACTTTTCTCATCTCTACTTTTACTGTCCTTCTTCTGTGCCCAATCCCTGATGCTAACAACACAAGAGACTTCTGGTGCCATTTGAGGAGTGAGGGGAACCTGAAGCCCTGTTCCAGTGGATTTTGCCACAAGCCAGGAGCATTTGCATAGTTTTAGGTTAGACAATCATGTAATTATACAGAAATTCTATATTCATATATAAATGTATGGCTTGACTTTTGTGCAAAGTGTGTATCATCTTTATGTTATAGATATTTTATGAAATTTCATCTTGGGATCTTTTTTAGAATGAAATTTTTGGTTCGACGATGGCATCGAGTCACAGGTTCTGGCTCCATCAACATTAATAGGGATGGCTTTGGACTGAATCCAGGTGAAGTCAAAATAGCATCTTTTTCCTACATTTGTGATTCTCTAAAATCTATATTTACAATACCTGTCCAAATAAAATATTCTAGAACCTGTAGTGTCCAAAGATCGAGCCCTCCCTTATAACTAACAAACTGACTCTGCAGTTTGAAAGAGAGTAATAATAGCAGATCTTTATGGAACACTCACTTTGTGTTAGGCCCTGCTGTTTTCATATATCATCATGTGTTCTCCCAATCCTGTGATGCAAGTACAGTTACTATTATTCTCACTTTACAGATGAGGAAACCGAGGCATGGAAAGCTGTGTCATTTGCCCCATATTACCTAGTAGAGAAGTGGTGGCACCAAGATCATGCCCTGGCGGACTAGCTCCAGAGCCCACACTCCTTACGACTACATTGAAGGCTCTGGTTCTGAATAGGATTACTGTTGACACATTATGTGGAGGAGTTATTGTTTGAAATTCTCAAGATTTAACAATACTTAAGTAGGTTTTGGAGTTTACCAGTGGGTCGCATAATAATGGCAACAGTTAAAGTTCCTTCTCTCCACATCTACCTTAGTTAGAAGTGAAAATAAAATGAACATTAGGGCTTGAACATTTCAGGCATAAGGAAGGAGTCAAAGGCGGGAGCACATAAAGACACAGCATAACTGTGCTGTGATAAAACTGCAGTATTAAATAACAGCTGAAATTTGTACCACATTGAGTTCTGTGTTTTATTGAGATCAAATTTTGATTTCGAGTTTTTTCAGACAAAAGTTGTAGAATGATAAAAGGACTTCATTACATTAGTCTAATATTTTTTATCCACACCATCTTTCCCCCAAAATCACACACATCAGACACCCTTCACCTCTCATCTAGTTATAACTAAATGGTCTTTCAAAAAGAAAAGATTCCAATAGTTTACTTTCTTTGAGGAGTAGTTCTAGATTATTAGAAAGACTCATACTCAAAGGTAAACAAAATGATATTTCAAAGCCAAATTTTTGGTTGTACTATTAGTTTGTCTCCTGTAGCAAGAATAATTGAAACCCCCATTGCTGTCAAGTCGATTCTGACTCATAGTGACGCTATAGGACAGCGTAGAAGCACCCCACAGGGTTTCCAAGGCTGTAATCTTTATAGAAGCAGACTGCCACGTCTTTCACAGAGTGGCTGGTGGGTTCAAATCACTGACTCTTTGTTTAGCAGCCTGGTATTTAAACACTGCGCCACCAAGGCTTCTTAAGAATAATTGAAAATGACCATAAATAGGAGACAGTTTGGTGTGTAAAAACCAGTTGCTGTTGAGTTGATTCTGACTCGTGGCAACATCGTATGTGTCAAAGTAGAACTGCGCCATAGTGTTTTCTGGCTGACTTTTCAGAAGTAGATCTTTTTTCCCAGGTGCCTCTGGGTGAACTCAAACCTCCAACCTTTCAGTTAGCACTCGAGCGCATTAACTGTTTGTACCACCCAGGGCATCCTAGTATAGTATATAGGATAGTAGTCTTTTGTGCTCTTATCTGTTTTGTAGAAATTTTTCAAGGGCATGGTATTTTTTTTCTTTACAAGGTACATTTTGGATTACTTTAGGTGCTGCAAAGACTGATCCATTTTATCATTCTTCTGGTGGGCTGGAGCTATATGGAGAACCAAGACACACTACATATCGTGCAAGATCAGATCTGGACTATCCTAGGTCTCCTTTACCATTTCAAAATAGGTAAGAATTTGATAAAACCTGCCTTGAGTAGTTAACTGTATTCATATTTAACAGAGAAAGATGACATTGTGAGGGCTTTGGCATCTTTGCATTGAGATAGCAATACATAACTTTAGTTATATATAGTTTACATAATCTAAGGCTCAATTAAAACTAGTTTTTTTTAATTTGTACCTGCTTTCCAAGGGTATACAAAACAGAGCTGACCAATTAGATAGTCAACAAAGTATTATTATATGCTGTGGTTAAGACAATGGAAAGAATATTAACTGATAGTCTGGCCATTATGAAAAAACTGTTTTAAGTCTGCATGAGAAGACACATTCAACATCTATGGAGGACCTTTGCAACAAGCATTGTACTGGACATTTTTAGGATTACTTAGTAGCTTCTTTGAATTAATTTGTTTTTTATTTTAAACATCTCCAACTCAGAAGCACAAGGGATACAGATTAGGCAGTTTATAAGGGGCTTGCCATTCAGGGGTCAGAGGTGGGGACAGGTTGGTAACTTACTTGCATTGTTTTTGGGTAATATGGCTTCATGTACATATTTTTTAATCCCATAGGTACCCAGGCCTTCCAGCTGATTTAAATCCTGGTTCCCTAGCATGTTCTCAGCTTCAGAATTATGATCCTGACAGAGCCCTGACAGATTATATCACTCGGCTAGAGGCACTGCAGAGGCGACTGGGAACTGTACAGTCAGGTGTGCTCAGTTTAACCACAGTGCTAGACCCAGAGCTCTCCTTCGTCTTTTGGAAAACCCTTGACCCTCCTTGTTAGGTTAATCAAATCTTCCAGTTCAGTGCTTGAATTACCAGGCTAGTCCAAGCTTAAACTCTGTGTAACAAGCAGAGAAACTGATGTAGGAGTTTAAGTAATTTTAAATCAAGACATGATTTATCACCCTCTACTCCACCCCACTCCCCAAAAGAGATTCCTTACTCTCTTCATTCAGCAGGTTGATAAGATAAAATCTACAATGAGCACCAATGTGTAAAGTACTCTGAGGCTACCTGTAGCCATCGAGTAGCCATCAAGTCGATTCCGACTCATAGCAACCCTATAGGACAGAGTAGAACTGCCCCATAGGGTTTCCAAGGAGCAGCTGGTGGATTCGAACTGCCAGCCTTTTGGTTAGCAGACAAATGCTTAACCACTGTACCACCAGGGCTCCAGAAGCTATAAAGCATACAAATAAGGGGTGCGGAGATAAGGAGAAGCAATTACTTTAAATACTTAATACAGTCATTATCAGTACTTCTACATGTGCTTCTGTGTATGATCAAAAAAAAATCCCATTCAAAAGACTTTGTAAGATTGACCTTTTATTTTTCTCTTTGCTGCAACACACAAAAAATTAATACTTAATAGAGGTCAATTCCCTGTGGTAGGAAATCCCCTGCTTTCCCTTCAGTTCACTCTTGATTCAAAGACTTTGAATCATTGTAAAGTGATTGTGCTCTTGATTGTGAAGTGATTTTATATTTTGTTTTTACTTTTATGAACGACCTTCTTTTTCTGCTGGTCAAACAAACTAATAGCTAATAACAGGAAGTGATTTGTTTAATCCAGTTAACTTGTAGCCATAGAAAACTTATCTGGCTGAGTTTTGTTGATTGGGTTTGGTTTGGTTTATGGGTGTTTTGTTTTGAGCATCCAGATTTCACAAGACCCACATTTTGAAGACCGGAAGATTTATCAAGAGAGGAGGGGCACTTAAAATCTTAACATTAGCCCCACTTAACCTTACTATGGAGCCAGCCACAGTGACTTTTAAATATATATTCAAAATATCTTTTAAAAATCAATTTAAGGAAGAATAAGACTTTTTAAGGGGGAAAAAAAGGTGTTTTTAAAATGGTAATAGTAATCTCCTGCCCTGAGTGAACCAGTCAGCCTGGTATGAGTAGCGATCTAATTTGAAATCATTTAAATATCCTGCTTTTCTCTCACAGGTTCAACTACTCAGTTTCATGCTGGCATGAGAAGATAATCCTTTGAAAACATCATCAATCAAAGTGATTTTAAACAAATTCCCTTTTGTAAATCAATGGTTCTTTTGTGCTTTTGTATTGTGAATATTCAGTGGGACCAATAGGAACACAGCTTATGATTGTATGCAAATCCCTTGCCAGCACATGAAAACAAACTGGAATTTGTATATATAAGCATTGTGTATGTATTCATGCACAGTAATCATTAAATTACCTGTATATTTGTGGAATGCTAATTTAAATGATTAAGTTATAAAACCTGTGTATTTATCAAATGGGTGAAAAGATTAAACTTTTGCGCATTATGATACTGCTGAATGTGTAGCTTGAGGTGTCCTGCACTTTTCTTAAAAGGCTACTGAAGTTACATGTTTCTGCCTAATATATTTGCTACTGGTGATGCAGACAGAAAATATCACTTGTAGAGACCTATTTTTGTATAATGGTAGAAGTTTTGAATTTTGGGGGGTATTTTGTCAAGTACTGAAATAAAAATTACTTCACCATTTTAATCACTGTACATTTGAACCTTCATTTTCAACTGAGCCATAATTCTTGGTGTATATCCTCTAATTGCGTGTCTCAAATACATGAGACTTATGGATTCAGAAAGAAAGTTGTCCTGATCTTACAATTAAGTTACCATTGAGGTTTTTCTCCTCCCTTTATTGGGCAAGAAAGTTTTCCATGTTCCTTTATGTCAACCTTACATCTGCCGATAATTTTTATAAAGCTGTATTAGTACTTTCATGATTACCATATGTTTACATATTCCCTCGCCAGCCGGACCCTTGCCCCACAAGCCACCCTCACAAGCACCACCATGGCAATCCCCTTCCACATGTTGCTGTAAAAAACAAAAATTAGCATATCATGCTTACGAAAATACCTTGGGGGATGGGGAAGGCCATGGCCAGCAAATACAGAAGGCACACATTGTCTAAAAATATGGTAATACATATTTGCTCTATTATTAGTGTTACTTGTGTTTCTCATGTCCAAAGATGTGTCTTTACTAAGCCACAGCCCACTGAAATGTAGAAATCATTTAATGTAAAGAATCTTAAATTTTCTTTTTTTTAGACATTATTTTAAACCTTCCTTCTGCCTCAATGACTTATTTTGTCTACTAGAGGCATAAAAAAGGGGGAGGGGGCTTCAACTCTTCTCGTAACTTTTTGCCACTTTCCGGTCATGCTGTATACAATCTGTGAAATGATAAAATTCTAGGTGATCAAAAGGAGACTAGCTGAACTATAAGGTAAATAAATAATCAGTCATTAAATAATTAAGAGTTTGGTAGCTATATGCTGACGTAAGTATTCTTTTTGTTTGTTTTATTGTGCTTTAAGTGAAAGTGTACAATTCCAGTTAATCATACAAAAATTTATGTACACATTGTTATGTGACCCTAGTTGCTGTCCCTCTACTGTGACAGCACACTACTCCTTTCCACTCCGGATTTCCCGAGTCCATTCAACCAGCTCCTGACCCTCTCTGCCTTCTCATCTCGTCTCTGGATTGGAGCTGCCCATTAAGTCTCATGTATCTACTTGAGCTAAGAAGTACACTCTTCACAAGTATAATTTTATGTCCCACACTCCAGTCTAATCTTAGTCTGAAGAGTTGGCCTCGGGAATGGTTTTAGTTTTGGGCTGACAGTCTGGGGGCTATATGTTTTGGGGTCCCTCCAGTCTCAGGCAAACCATTAAGTCTGGTCTTTTTCCTAGAATTTGAGTTCTGCACCCCACTTTTCTCCTGCTCCATCAGGGACTCTCTGTTGTGTTCCCTGTCAGGGCGGTCATTG